AGGGGAATCTTTCCTGCCCCAGATTGTAGCTGGCTAATACTGTGTGGGAAGAAAGAAATATTTTTATCTCCTCTCATGTCAGCTAGTGAATTGAATTTAGGAATGAGTAGTTCTTGTTGCCGATTGGTGTACAGTGATCATCTTTTCCAGCCCTGAATTACTCATCTGGCTTTGTTAGGTTTGTCTGGAATTTCTTTGTTATCAATAATTACAGATTTGTCATTGTGCTTTTTACCACAATTTCCAAATGATTAAATAAGGCTAGGAATTTTTCTTCTAGGGAAGGCTGGATTTTATTTTTTTTTTTCCTGGATTTAGAAAAATTTACTTGTGCTGAAAGCCTAAGGATTGCTTGGAAGATCTGTTCCTGCTGTGTTAGGTATCAGAGATTATGTGGAGTTTGATAGTAGTATAATTACAGTCTCACTTGTTCACTTCCTAAATTTCATGTAAATGAAAATTTTATACATAATCCAGAGTTAAAACATTAAGGAACTAAGGCACTGCAATAAGTACTGGAGCCAATTTATGGATTTTAGAGATCTTGCTGAATACTTTGAAAAAGGTGTGCATCTTTACTGAAGCTCGTGATGCTGGATATAAGGTCAGCCTTTGGACAGGGTCAGACAAGCTGTTAACCCACAGAGCCACTGCAGAATCTAGTGTTTCTGACTGGGAGATTAATATGGCTGTAGTCACTCCTAAAACCTTTCAAAGGAGATAGTGAAATGTGTTTTGCTGAGTGCTGCACGGATAGTGTAGGTTAGCTGCTGCCTTGGAATGCTTGTTTGATGAGCAAGCAATTTGCAAATAGAGGTGAGCAAAAGAAATGCACCATCTTAACAAGAATTGTCATCTGTAAAGGACCCAAATTAGTTTCAAAGTTCAAAAGATGATCACAACTAGAAAAAAACACTGAAGTCAAAGCAGGACAAGAGCCTTGGTTAGACATTAATAATTCAGGTTGAGGTGCAAATCTGTTCCAGGTTCTGGGGAAGTTGAGAGACTTACAAGATGTTTAGCTCAGGAGGCGCAGTTCACTAAGTGTTTTGCCCTGAACTGTTACTATGGCTACTGTTTAGTTTTGAGGCTTGTCTTTGAATACCTCATGCTCATTAATATTGAGGGCATACATAGATACTACCATTTAAGATCACTGCACTTAGAAAATCAGGTACTAATGACACTAACTTCCTTAAGTGTAGATTTTTAGGTGTACTAAAAAGGCAATAATCATCCTCAAAGAGCCAGTGGTTCTGAACATCACAGAACGCTGAAATCTCATCAAAATCTAGGAGGATTGTATACCCAGTTTTCTTTGAAATAAAGATACTTGTTGAATGCCTGTTAGTACACTCTCTACTGCAAACCTGCTGGTTAAAACAGTACCTGACTGCTCTTCTTACAGAATCCAAAATGCAACCTTACTGATAATTCCTACTTTGACACTTATTTAAAAAACATTTCAAGTGTTTTGCTATCTTCACTTGGAAAAGTGAAAATTAATCCATAAGCATCTAAGAAGCTAAGCTTCAATCATGAGCAAGTTTTACTTTGGCCAAAACAATTATTGAGCTCAGTGCAAGAGGTAATCTAGTGAAGTGTAGTATGTCCAAAATAGAGATGGCAAAGCCAAGAAGTTTTAAAAACATAGATACTGCAATGTGATGATAAAGTCTTCTCTTTATACTGAACAATAGTGAAACAAAATTAAAATGAAAACATTTCCTCATCTAAAAGGTCTTGTGCATAGAAAAACAAAGTCTCTCTTAGCATACTGTTTCACTTCTTGGGGTGTGGCAAGGAAAGAGAATTCTCGACTAGAACAAGAATTTATATGTTTCCCAATGAAAAGTATTTTCCATGGTAGTGAGTCATACTGTAACTTGAAGCTTTCTCCAAACTTTTTTGTAGCTAGTTTGCTGTAAAAGTCACAAGTTTCCAGAGACTTACTGTGTGGTGCTTGCCAGGGTTTAAAAACATTAAAATCTTGCTGCATAGCAGTGACTTTCATTTGTTTCTGTATTAAAAAAGTCTTTTTTAAAAAATCCTGTTTTATCTGTGTTTATGGTCCATTTTTAGACTCAGGCTATTGAATGCATAGTAGCACTGCCAAAAGAGCCATACAAATGCATGGCAATACTCTCCTGCCAAATTAGGAAGCTGTCAAACTAAATTTCACTGATGTACAAATAGAATAGAAATTAAGTCTTTTATCTTTGTGCATCCCCTTGCAGATGGAATGTACAGCGTTCTCAGATGCCTGCTTCTGATCAGTCCTAAAAGCTTAGCACAAATAACTTCCCTGTAAAGAGGTGGGCCTCCTCTAGAGTGATTTCAGTTCCTGGAAAACGGTAACTGGCAGAATTGTGAAAGAAAATATTAGCACATCTTAAATGTTGTTCCACTCCTGCCACAGAAAGGAAAAACCATCACACCTGTCAGGAAACCTGGAATCCACACTCTGAATTTTGCCTGACGCTGTAATGGAAGTTTTTAGCAGATAACCTGGAATAAAGTGGCTAGTGAAGTCAGCACAGCTATCAAAATTGACTAGTTTCCCACTTATGAAGATAAAGCCCATAGAAAAGCCATTTCAATTAGAACTGTTTAAAAAGGCTAGAAAAGAAGCAAAATCTTTCTCGGAAATATAAAGTTGTCCAGAAAAAGATAGTTGCAGCCTCAAGTCTGAAAGTTTTCCCTATTTGGGTATATGTACATGGCCGACAAAAAGGCAAGTCGGCTGAAAGCCTTTCAGTACTTGCTTAGTCTTGGGGCTTTTTCCCTATTTCCCTTGGAATGAAAGTTTAATATTCATTATGATTTGTAGTAACACTTGACTGTAGTACTAGGAAACTGGAGATGTAACTGTTTAGCATGTGTTTGAGTCTGCTAGTTAAACTGCTGCTTGTTCACCTTTTCAGATCCCATCTTCCATATGATGTGCAGAAGAGGCTGCTTGCTCCTTTCATATTTTTCTTCTCTGACAAACAGTATCAAGTAACTATTCCCAACTATTTAGTCCCCCTGCTGCCTTCCATATATCAATAAATAACATTTTGTATGCCTGAAGGCATATAGTTAAAGCAAAACAGCTTTATGTATGCAACTTGAAGTTTTAATAAATATATGGCTTGAATAAATTCACAGTGATCTAGTTCAGCTGGGGCGGAGGGGCAGAGTACATTTCTGCCCAGCACAGATTCTGGCTTCAACCTCGGTTGGCTTGAGCAATGCTCAAATGAGACCTGTCACCAGAGTACCTGCTCAACCAAGAGAGAACTGCCCCCAGGCAGGACAGTCAGTGCCTTGTTTGTTCTTGCCCAGGGCCTGACAAGAAGGATAACTGCTCCTCTGAAGGATCAGAGTAAGACATGTTTAAAAACCCCATATATGTTGTAACTGTGACTGTTCTGTTGGGGTCTGATAGATTCCACTTATATTTTGAATATTATTTCCTGTGAGAAGGTTCTTGAAATCCCAGATATGAATACCTTACAGCTATCTAAGTCAGAAACTAGTTAGTTTGCTTTTGGAGACCACCCTTCCCCCCATATGCACACTAAATTTAAATTCTGTTGCACAGAGGCATGGTACGTTCTTTTACCAATTGAACTCACATAAAGCGCACTTGGCCCTCAGCTTTATTTGAGCAGCACTCAGTTCCTTTGAATCTGGGATTGTTTCCAGAGCATTCAGGAATGGCTTTCATAGCAGCACAGTACTTTAGTTTGGATAATGTATGCTGGCCTTTTTTCACTCCTGAGGACCTGAATATGGTCTTCTCTTTACATAATAGGAAATTTGTGGTGCCTTGTCCTGGCATCTGAAGGACACGCTGTGCCTGCTACAAACTATCGTGCAACTTGGCACAACCTACAGCCAAGGACTTGGGGAGCAGAGGTGGGGATGATAAATTCTTCACAGCTCTGTTACATGCTGAGTGAGGTAGGAGAAGCTTGGATAGAAGCTAACGTATAGCTGTAGGGTTTTGGGTTTTTATCAGTAGCCACATGACTTTGGGTGCTGTGTTGATCTTAAACATCGTGTTTAGGGTTCTGCGTATGTGCCCTGTCAGTTTGGTTAAATGCTTTCTGCTCTGCAACTACCTCCAGAATAGATGAATTTTAATTTTGAGTTCAGTCATTTTATTGGACAGCTACAACCTCTTTGTTTAGAAGGCTGGTAAGAGTCACTCAGGTGGCAGATCTCCCTATCTTTGTGTAATCATTTTCCACTTAGTTTTGAACTGCCTTGAAGGCTGAAATCACCCATTGTGCATCCAAGCCATTATCAGACCACAACTTGAATTTGCATCTGGACCACCTGTCAGCATGCACTTGCAGTTCTGCTGAATGGCTTGGGGCAGGGAATGCAGGTCTGGACTGGGTGGCCTGGTCACACAAGCTTGCTGCTAGGGTAGAGTTACTCAATCAAAATGTTTTGAACAAATTTGAATTAGGGGAGTGGGTTGATGCTTTCTGTTATGTGGCTGTGCGTGGCAGCTAGAGCCCTGAAGCTGCATATGGCTCGTAACTTGCATTACTCTAGTTTGCATTACTCTAGCAAATATCTTGATTTATAACCTGTACTGATAAGTTATGTTAAGGAACAAAGTTCATCTTGCATATACAGTGAATGAGGTCCAAAGCTAAAAATCTTATGGAATGTTGGTAAGCTTTATCAGCCTCTTCAAAACTGTACTTCTAGTTACCTACCAGCTTGTCTCATCTTCATTGCAAGGAATACTCACTTTCTTCCAAGGTTAACTGCTGCTGTTAAACTACTTAATTGAGAACTACTAAAGTCTTGAATTTCTGCTAAGTAAAAGATATTTAAGTGGGAGAATGGAGAATTGTTCTTCAACTCTTAAAGCAAATAAGTGCATAAATTATGTACTTGTATGTTACAGGTGGCTGGTATAGAAGTAACCTTCTCAGTTTATAAATACCTATGAAGTTGTTCAGTGAATTCCTTTTTTTCTCATGTGTCTCTTGCAGGTATTCGTTATAGTTTGGATGTTAGTGTGGATGAAGTGAAAGCCTTAGCTTCTCTAATGACATACAAATGTGCTGTTGTTGGTAAGTAGTAATTTTTCAAGCAAGGATACAATCTTTAATTTCAATTAGTACTGATGTAATTTACATAAAAACATTCAAAGGCACTAGATCAGACACTGATCTGACTAAAATCTGTTACAAGATGGGAAAAGCATATAGTGACGAAAATAATAATGCATATTCCCTCTGCTGTTACTGTAGATACTTGAATAAAGTTGCATTTTCATTTGAAAAGTCCGAATTCTGCTAGCTACCCCCTCCTGTAAAAATGCTGCATCTTGAACTCAAATCAAAGTATGACAAACTTGGATTAGGAGGGGGCTAATTTTAGGGGAAACGGAGGCTGTAAAGGATTCAGGCAGAGAAGCTGTGGAGGGAGAATGATAAAATTCCTTTATGGGTTATAAAGAAGTGTATTTCATACATGACTGCTAACTTGTAGGGGAGTTTGGAGAGAATCTGCATATTATGTATAAGAAAACAAAATACTTTTTATTTATAAGGACACTCCACTTACAACTTCCAAAATAAAATTTTTGAGCTAAACCAGTACAATGTAAACTGTAGAACTTACTGTTTCTACAAATGCCAAGTACAAGAGCTTGAAGCGTAGGAAAATTAAATCATGAACTTCTGAGTTTCAAAGACCATTTTCAAGCTGCCCTTGAAAGATTTCCCATTTCTATAGGAATACTTAGATTACGTTATAGCTTAAACTTGTGAAGCCCTAAATGTGGCAAAACTAAATTCACTACTAAAAAATATAATTATTCACACAAATTACTCATGTGTTCTGCCTTTATTGTTGAAAAAGTAAAATAATTTTCCTTTGCATTCTTATAGATGTGCCATTTGGTGGGGCAAAGGCTGGTGTCAAGATCAATCCCAAGAACTACACAGTAAGCTTAATCATAGATAAAAATTCAGTTTTCTGCAGTACTGAAGCCAGCCAGTTAAAAAAGCTCTTCTAAGGGCATTATTGACCACTTAAAACTTCCTGCCTCTTCTGCCTCTGTAAAGGTGGAATTTAGCTTACGCATGCAATAGGTAGGAAAAGAATTTTTTAAAAGTCTGTGTTTCAGAGGTGGAATACTTCAATATTTAACTTAATCCTTTTCTTCCTTAGAGTCAGAAGAATACAACTAATTTAGAACCTGAACTTTTACTAGATTGCTACTCTTAATAAAGGCTTAAATTAAATTACTCTTAGAAAAAAAGTCAGTGTTTTTGTTTATTTTGACAAATAGTTTTATGCTTTATTAAACATTTCTATGCAGTGTTCTATATGAATAATAACTAACTTGGCTTATAAAAGGTTTACTGCAGGCTTGTCACCTTGCCCTAATTAAAATAACGTACAGAAAGAAATACTAGAATATGTAACAGATATTCTAAGCTCAAAACTGCTATAAGGATTTGTGCAAAGTTGTTCAACTGTAATTGTTACATAGCTGGCAGGCCAGCTACTGCTGTTGCTGGTTATAAATCTCTCTCATAGGATATCAGATTTGTTTGCTGGAAATCTCTGCTACAAGCACAGGTTGTTCCTGTAGCACACTCCTGACTTGTTGTGGATCAGAATGTATGGAAAGAAAGCTGAATGTGCCCTTGTGCTGCCTGAATACCAAGGATCTGTTAGGGAGTGGCATATAAATTACATTAATATATGAATCATTCTTTCTACTAAAAGAAAAAGGTGTCTGTTCACACTTGGGCATAAGTTCTAGCCAATATTCATAAACTAATTATTTCTTGTGCTATTTATTGCATTTTCTCTATAGGACAATGAATTGGAAAAGATCACAAGAAGGTTTACCATGGAGCTGGCAAAAAAGGGCTTTATTGGTATGTTGTGCAATTTTACTATTAAAATTTAGGAATCTGATTTATTGTGCATTGGCAGCACCCGCTAGATAGTGTCCTTAAACAACCATGTTTTTGAGAGCTGTAAGGAATTTGGGTATAGTACTTTCAGCAAAGAGCCACAAAGAATTGAGTCATTGCATCTTAGTGCATTTTAAGGGGGACTTAACATTTTTCTTGTGACTGTTCTGCTACGAAAAGCCACAAAAGCTGAGCTCCCAGGATCTGAAATGAATCACATTTCTCTTAGAGATGAGTTATAAAATAGTGACCAAGTCTGTTGCAATTTTAATCTCCGATACCACTCTTCACTGTTACTGCTTCCTGTAGTCTCAGTTGAGGCTTTAAGCAGATATCTGAGGAAACACAAGAAGGAAATAGAAGATCCACCCCAGAGAAAGTTGTTGATGGCTTCATCCATGGCAACCACAGGCTGCAAGGATAGGCAAAAAGCATAGGTGCCTGTTCTGACAACCTCAGCTTCTGTAATGTTAGTAGGTGTTTGATTCAGACTCTCAAACCACAGTTGTTTTGATAGCTTGCTGTCTGACATTGCTATCGGGAAGTATCCTCTAGAGAAAGCTGAATGTTACTAGCTCAACTTGTAGTTAAATGGAGGATTTTACCTAAAGGAGATCCTTATTCGAGTGAGTAAGAAGGCATGTAACTAGTTAAAGGTCTGTCATGTATTCCTGATGTCTAACTGCCCCTGGGAATATATATCCATTTATCTGCATTTCTTGCTCTTCAGTCAGAGTGTTTGTCATATGCTCTTCCAGCCAGAGTGTTTCTCATCTAAATTAAGCTTCTGTATAAACACACTTATTGATGTTACATGTGACTAGGGTAATACTATATACTATGCCAGCTATAGTGATTGTTAGTTCAGTGACAATTAAAATGGTTTGACTAAATCTGTCTTCCCTTTTGGCTCTATGGTTTGTCAAAGCTTTCACAAACTGTTTAAAAAAACTTAAGAAAAAAAATTGGTAGAGGCAGAGTTGCACTTAAAATCTTGCTGAGCAAGTCCCTCTTATCTTAAATAGGTTGGGCCAATGCTATTTTTAGTTATTTAATAAAAACAGGCAGAATTTGTTATTTCAAGGGTTTATTTAATCAAGAAAGATGTAACTTCTCTTTCTTGAAGTGAGTGGTAAAATCAAATGCATGTGCTACAGTGCAACGACTAGGAACAGCCTATCTTCAATTTTAAACACAGGAATGAAAAGGAAATTCTAATTAAAAAGAAAAAACAAACAAAAAAAATCTCCACCAAACCAAAACCAAACAATCAATTGGAAAAAATAAAAACCCAATTAACATCATGATTTATAGAAATCATCACCTAGATAGTGCCCTTCTTGTTGTTACAGCAATGATTGTCAAAAAACCCATAAATGCTTTTGATGCATTACTTTACTGTGACTTTTTATTGACAAACTGACCTTCATTTTACTGAATGGCTTGTGTGAAAAGTTGGAAGTTTTGACAGGAGTGTAGAAATACACAATACAGCATCTAAGACTGAACTGAATCCAGAAGTATCTGTTGCTTGCATAATAAACTGAGGATAAAACAGGAAAACAGTTCTCTGCCAAGGTTTGCACAGTTCCCAGGGGAATAATGGTTGAAGATAACTATTCATGTTTGATCCTTAAAAGCTGTTTTCACTGTTGCCAACAGGACCTGGTGTTGATGTGCCTGCTCCTGATATGAGCACAGGGGAGAGAGAAATGTCCTGGATTGCTGACACCTATGCCAGTACCATAGGACACTATGTAAGTTTTGAGCAGAGGCTTTGAAGTAAAAGAGCTTTCTTGGTCTTTGCAGAAATCCTTGTATCTAGAAGTTTATTGCTGTGCTGCTTAACCATATAGTTTTATTTCATTATTTGGGTCTGAATGTATTCTATGGAACTGTAACAACTGAATTGGTATGAGGTAAGGAAACCTTAACTTACACAGGTAAGGAAAAATAGCTTTAATTTTAATGCTTTTATGTTAGGCTTAAGTTAAATTTGTCTGATGCAGTACTGATTGCAACTGTTCAGCAAAAAGAAAATACACTGTTTTTAAACATCTCACACGTAGTCTAAAATTGGTTTCTATTTCTACCATTTCCCTGTTTTTCATTAGTACTATAATTACTAATTTGACGTTATTAAACAATTAGCTCATAATAGTTGGTATAGTCTTAAAGTACTGAAATCTTTCAGTTTCAGACTTTGAATTTACAAATGTTATTAAATAAATGCTTGTGGTTTTATGCATTCAAGAGACCATGTAAAGTAATTTAACACTATTGGTATAACCTGTAAAAATATTCAAGTTCTCTGGGGTCCCCTAAAAGTAACAAGTAATTAGTGTATATTTCAGCAAATTCTCCAAAATGTATAGCAAAAGGACATCCATATAGCAATAGAAAAAATAAAGTTTGGGATTTCTTTAATATTTTTTAATTATAGCCTTTAATTGAGCCTTTGTCTTATATTGCTGGGGTTATTTGTCAAGCCACTCTTCATAATATTTGAGAAGTCATCGCAGTCAGGTGAGGCCCCTGGTGACTGGAAATAGGGCAATGTCACGCTTCTTTTTTAAAAGAGGAAGAAAGGAGGACCCTGAGAACTCCTGACCTCTCAGCCTCACCTCTGGCTGGGAAGATCATGGAACAGATCCTTCTAGGAGCTATGCTAGGTCACATGGAGGACAGGGAGGTGATTCGAGACAGCCAGCACAACTTCACCAAGGGCAGGTGCTGCCCGGCCAACCTAGTGGCCTTCTATGATGGAGTTAGTACATCAGTGGACAAAGGAAGGCTGTGGATGTTGGTTACCTGGGCTTCTGTAAAGCCTGTGACACAGTCCCCCACAACATCCTTCTCTCTAAATTGGAGAGAGATGGATTTGATGGGTGGACTGTTCAGTAGGTAAGGAATTGGCTGCATGGTTGCATCCAGAGGGTAGTGGTCAGTGGCTCAATGTCTAGATGGAGATCAGTGACAAGTGGCATCCTTCAGGGGTCTGTATTGGCACCAGTACTGTTTAATATCTTCATCAGCGACATAAACAGTGGGATTGAATGTGCTGTCAGCAAGTCTGTACATCACACCAAGCTGAGTGGTGCAGTTTATACACCCAAGGGCTTGGAAGCTATCAAAAGGGACTTGGACTCGAGAGGTGGGCCTGTGCAAATCTCATGAGGTTCAACAAGGCCAAGCACATAGTCCTGCACCTGGGTCAGGGCAACCCCTGGTATCAATAGAGGCTGGGGGATGAAGGGCTCAAGAGTATCCCTGAGACAAAGAACTTGGAGGTACTGGTGGATGAAAGATTGGACATGAGCCAGCAATGTGTGCTTGCAGCCTAGAAGGCCAGTTGTATCTTGGGCTGCATGAAAAGGACCATGGCCAGCAGGTCAAGTGAGGTGGTTCTGGCCCTCTACTCAGCTCTGGAGCCCTCAATACAGAAAAGACATGGACCTGTTGGAGAAGGTCCAGAGGAGGGCCACAAAAATGATGAGAGGGATGGAACACCTCTCCTATGAGGAGAGGCTGCAAGAGTTGGGGTTGGTCAGCCTGGAGAAGAGAAGGCTCTGGGAAGACATTATTGCAGCCTTCCAGTTCTTAGAAGGGGCCTATAAGAAAGATGGGGAAAGACCTTTTAGCAGGGCCTGTTGTGATGGGATGAGGGGTGATGGTCTTAAAGTGAAAGAGGGGAGATTAACGCTGGATGTGAGGAAGAAATTTTTAACAATGAGGGTGGTGAAACACTGGAACAGCTTGTCCAGAGAGGTGGTGGATGTGCCACCTCTGGAGACATTCAAGGCCAGGCTGGATGTGGTTCTGGGGGGATTGGACTAGATGAGCTTTGAAGGCCCCTTCCAACCCAAACTATTCTGTGATACTTGTACCTGTTTTGACTGCACCAAAAATATGACTGTTGACAAAACACTTTGTTGTGTACTTTTGACAGGTTGCATGAAAGAAAAATGTATTATGAACAGCTTATTTCTTAAGGGTCTACTGCCTATGCTACCCAAACTTTCTAGTTTCTCTTTCAGATAGTGTGAGCTATCCCAGCTCCTTTTAACTTTTTGTTTTACTTTCTGCAATCCCTTCCAACAGTTCCTCAGGAAAAACAGGGTGCACGCCCCTGGTAATAAGGCAGTACAGCCACCCAAGATGTATTTCTCTCTGGCATGTCTGTTGAAGATGTGCCTGGCTTTCCCAAGACAGTCACTTGGAAAAATACTTGTCTTGTGTTGTCTAATGCCTTATAACAATAGGAGAATGGGATAGCACTGGTTATTCTAGATCTGAAATACAGTCTAAGGTATCTCATGGGGTGAGGGAGAAAGAAATGCTTGAAGGATAGGTTGCAGCATGCTGATTAGTTGAGTTAAATTACTTTTACACAGAGCTGTCTTTTAAATAGGGATATTGCTATAAAACGTTATTTTCTCTTATTCACATACATAAATAGTATATTTCAAACATTAAACTTGATAAAAAGCCAAAATAATGACTTCAACACACAGAATGGCAGCTTGCTCCCTCAGTCATAACTTAAAATTCCAACATGTAAGAAAACTACTGCCTCAAAGCATATTGAGTTTTAACACTTAACTCACTGCACTAAAATGCATGTTTCACTGTGATACAGCTGCACTGTTATACTACAGCTGACATAGAGGGCTCACAGCACGTGACCTGCTTTAACGTTTGCTGTATACGTTAATAGTTCACATACAGTTTTATACAGAAACTGCAGGTTTTTTAATGGGTGGAAAACTAAACACTGATACAGGGGAAGATTTTTTTAAATCTTCTTAGATTTATTCTTTCCACTTTGCCATCTCAGCTTGTTGTGTAGTCCCACATATGCACATACTTCAGTGACAAAAGAAAACAAACCAACAACTACTGAGGATAAATATACAATTTGAATTACGCCACAACAGTTTCTTATAATCCTAGACTATCTCTGCATGGCAGTAACTTATTCTTGAAGACAAAAAAACCACCAACAAAACAACACTCCCCTCCAAAAAAACCCCAACACTCCAAGAGGATTTAGGTACATGTTTTTGAAAAGTTAAAGAATTGAAATAAGGAAAAAAAATCTGTTTACTTAATTTTGTTGGTTTGTTGTTTGTACATGGAAGAGAGAATAGTAGCCATAGTGGAACTTTTGAACTACTGTGATACAGAGAAGGAAGGTGAGAACTCTGACAAGGGGAGTAATCTATCAAAACCTTTTTGTAGAGGAAGATGTTCCAGATAACTATCTGGTTGAGACACCAAGAACAAAACTAAAAGTTATTAAAGAATACTAAATATATGAAAGTGACCATGGGGAAAGAAGGGAAGGGACTGAAGAGCAGAAAATGACCGTGGAACAAAAGCAGAACTAACTGTAATTCAGGAAACAGATGGAAGCTGTGCAAGGGACTACATTCAGTGGAATGGAAAGATAGCTCTTCAGTGAAAGGGATCTGAGAAATCTACAGACCTGGTGAATCAGTGTGGTTAAACACAGATGTGTTCAGGGAGCTTGAAGTGGAAAGAAAAAGTCAAATAACAGATATGAACAGATAGAGGAGGTCTGCTTGAAACCTCACATACAGATCCAGGAAGCTGGAGAGACAAGGAGAGTATTACTGCAGGGTGAAAAGAAGTTAACAAACAGTCAAAAGTTCGGTGTTTTAATTTTGCCAACTGAGTTCTAATATAGAAGTCTTTAATGCCAGCCATGAGCCATTTTACAAGCTTCTCATTAAAAGCCACAGTCTTTCTTTTTGGCCCAAGATGTGTTAAACACCTTTTGATTGACTTAATACCACAATTTTTAGGACTTTGACATTGACTGTGGTTCATAGATGTGACTTTAAGAAGACCCAGACCTGCCCTCGCCTCATGCTCTATTTCCTTGCCAAACCATGCAAGTCTTTAATAACTACCATGTTAACTATTCCAGAAAATCCACCTTAAGTTGCTGGATCACTGAATTATATATAGGTAAAGTTTTTGATTAAATTCATGCTTTCCACTCTTTCATACTTCCTGACACATCCAACTGACTTCTGGGCCATGTGAAAGGACTTTTAATAAATACATTCTTATGTATGGTGGGAGGCTGTATTTCTTCAAGTATTTATAAAAGATACTTCCTCCTTTGTGAGTGCATGAAGGCTAGAATGCAGTTTAAGTCTGAAACAGAATGAAAACCTAGAAATACATCAAAACACCAAGCCAAGTTGTTCCTAGCAGAACACTACCTCAGGTATTGTTTACAGTTGATACGCCACCAGAGGGAGCATACAGCTTAATGGGAGCAATGCAGCCATATTTTGGGAAACTGAATTAGGAATTTTATGTGAAGCCCAGCATCATTTTTATTGTTTTTAAAGAGGGGTTATCTTTGCCTTTATATGTGAACTCACTGTCGTTTTCAAACAATAAATAGTTTTTATTTCCATTACGCCTCTAAGTATCTCTTGTCATTCTGCCTCCACTTACTTTTGTCTGCTCATTTCCTTCCTCTCACCAAGCGTCTTGCACTCATGCCACAGGCATGCAAATGCATTTGGCATAAGTGATGGAGAGGAGGGAGCCTCCCAGTGAATATGCGGTTGGTGGAACAGAAACCCATCCGGCTGCTGGCAGACTCATTTCAGTGGATTCTCTTTCATCCTTACTCTTTTACTTGAATTGGTGGCCAAGCCACTGTGTGACTGTGCTCCCAGGGTGTGGGAGCATGGGAACCAGTGGTGACAGAAGAGGAAGGCCCAAATAGTGTCTAGTTTGGAAATAGTTTTTCAAGTTACTAATTTCAATTTGAAAAATTAGCACTGGTTTTAAATAGCCTATTTTATCTTGGCTAGCTGTCTAGCATATGGAAAATTTAATTTTATTAGCACTAAATTAAATGATAGAGGCTTGATTATATGTCACTTTCTGAATAAAAGTTGCTAATACTTCTCTAACTTTTCCTTATGACCCTTGTATTGTAGATTTTCCTCTGACATCAAACATCCCTGAATTCTGACAACAGGATGTTATTAGGCCAGTATTGTTGTTTCAAAATAACTGAATTTGGTATAAAGGAACACTAGGCACTTTAAAGATGATTAAAACAGTCGAAGGATATGTCTGAGCACTTTAAAAGATTAAAATATCAAGAAAAATGATGAAAATTATGCCTGTAATAGGAGCTAATTTTGAGAAACATACCCGAAAAGCTTTTTGATTTGTCAAAAGTCTGCTCATTGCTAACAGTACAACATAGGTATCACCATAATTAACTAACTACAGGCTGAAGTGAACATATACACTTTAATACAATGAAAAATTACAGAACATATCCAATACTGCATTATGCAACTTTCCTGACAGCTACTAGAGTACTTCTGAGGTGTTCAAAGCGAGGAAGGAAATAATCTTTACAAACTAAATGTGTATAGACTATAACATGTTCTGACTCATGATTCCTGTTTTTCCTTATCTCTAAGGTGTACAAAACTTCTAGTCGTAGTTGTTTTTTGATTAATTCCACAGCTCACAAGTCCTTCACTGTTTTACAGGATATTAATGCACATGCATGTGTAACTGGTAAACCCATCAGCCAGGGTGGGATCCATGGACGAATATCCGCAACTGGTCGTGGTCTCTTCCATGGAATTGAAAACTTCATCAATGAAGCATCATATATGAGTATATTAGGAATGACTCCTGGATTTGGAGATAAAACATTTGCTGTTCAGGTAACTTTTTTCCTCAACTGTTGGGAAAAATTAGTAAACAAACTTCCAGTAGAGCTGCTTTTAAAAAGGGCTGTAGGAGTAATTCCTGTTAAGGTTTTACAACTTCCAAGTTAACCTTTACTCTCAAACTTTAAAAACACTTTTCAAGCAACACAGGTGCCCTTTATTTTGGACTGTGTTTAAAAAAACCAAACTTTTGATTGCAGTCTACAGGCACAAAGCCCAAATCTTCAGTCTTTATAGGCTACAAAGAACAAAGTGTAATACTGTTACAGGAGCTCTTTAAACTAAGGCACACATTTTAATGAGCTGTGACACTGTTTCTGCCTATATGCAATTTGTTGCACTGTTTTGTAATAAAGCATTTTAGGGAGAGAAGGAATTGGGGGTTATGGTTTTTGTTCCAGTATGGGATGAGCAGTTGGAAAAGTAGAAACCAATATCTTACCCTAAGACATAAGTCTTTGGTGTTCATAAGACCTCAGGATTTATGTATTGAATTTTGGAGGGATTTGGTGTTCAGTAGCATGCATTATCATCCTTAAAATTTCAAAGAAATAACTTTTTCTTTTCAGCTTCAAGCAGCATGTTAAATGGAGGATTTGAGAGATTGCTTTTTGTTTTTCAATGCACTGTTGGTTAGAAATAGTAGAGTAATTGTAACCTCTAAGTTGTCTTCTAGTTAACCAGTGGGCTGAAACATCTTTGCCCTGCACAGACCCATCAGCACACTCATCTCCCTGCACTTTGGCATTTTCATGCCTGACAGAGGGTTAACCAACAGGCACTTAAAGCATAACTTAGACGGAAAGCATGGCCATAAGAGCAGATAAATATAATTGGAGCTATGTTATACAGGAAGCTAATATTCAGCTTTTTTCCAGCATAGCATCTTACTAAAAACTTTTTACATGGATGATGTGACTTTTTGGTCTGCCACCTGTGTTCCTTTATTTTCAGAATGTTGAATAATGGTCTGGAATTAGGTTTTCTACACCTGTCAAGATGTAAAACCTGCTAATGAAATGCAAGGTTATCTGAATTTAAATTCAGGAAACGTATTAGAAATGTATTAGAAATTACGTAGCTTCCTACTAGTTTGTATGTTTTAATGTGAAGAATTAATAATATTCTTGTTTAATGCTTTACATTGTGGGATGGTTTTACACTTACAAGCCTTCATTACCCAAATTAAATGAATGTTTAATATATTTCTTGGCCTGAAAACGTTAGTCAAGCCTTTGAATCATCATACAAAAATTTGTGAATCCTTCTGTAACAATGCTTGTTATAAAATACACATAATATTCTTATGTTAATAAACATCATAGTTTTGGCACTTTCATAGTAGCATTAGTGCTTCCTTTCTGTATTTCCAGTGTAAAAAACATAGCACAACTGTACATTGCTGGCTACAATGCAGAATTTCTACAGTGATATAAAGACTGGAATAGAATGCATGTAGATTTCTTCCACCTTTCTTACACACATCATCTGATGCCAAGATATGCCAATAGATGAAATATTTAAAACTATTCAAAGCTATATAAGCTTTAGCAGTAATATCCATTTTAGCTGAAGGGTTAACTAGTTTTTCCTTTCTCTTTCCACCTATAGGGATTTGGTAACGTGGGCTTGCATTCTATGAGATACTTGCATCGTTTTGGAGCAAAATGTGTTGCTGTTGGAGAGTTTAATGGTTCTATCTGGAATCCTGATGGGATTGACCCAAAGGAACTCGAAGATTACAAGTTGGTATGAAATTTAGCTGAGCAGAGTTTCATTTTTGTCAGCTTTGAAAGTACATAGGATGACTGTAGATGGATGTTAATTTGTGTTAAGTCATGCTGCAATTAGTACTTACAAAATGGCTTAGGAATGCTGGTTCTTTTGGCTTTCTCTTTATACCCAATATGAATGCCTGTGGGTATTTCCTTACTCTTTGACCTGACTCTCAGAAAAATGGCAAGGGCTTGCATGTGTACAGGCTAATTACTTTGGTTTCAGAATTGGAGTTCATAATTATTTTACCTTTCTTAGTACTAAAATAGGAAGGATGTCTGAAGGAACCAGAGCAAAAAGGTTCCTGAAGGATTCCTGACTGAGAATCACAAGCATATGGACATTTAAGACTTCAAAGTACACTTTTACTGCTTCTTACCTATTGATTGTTTCTGTAAAAATGAAAGCCTGTCTGGCAGTGTGACTTGGGACATGTAGTTTATAATGAAAACTGGATATGGTCTTTTTATTTCAGTTTCAAAGTGAAGCAGACTTGAGGGGACAGATCACAGGCACTAAAATGTTATCTTCTACTTAGTTTCTAAGGGGCTTATTTGATGTATCTTTTACGCAGGGAATATTTGATGTCTTTATCAACCCCTTTCTCAAAAGAATGGAAGATTCAGTCGCTAAACAAAGGCTATCATTGTAGTACTGAATTTTAAAATGGTACTTTTTGAATCTTACGTGGTGCATTTTAGCCTGCATGTAGCAGACACATAGGTCATTTCAGTTGTTTGGTAATTATTGTATTAGCCATGTATTTTAAGAGTTGAGGGACTTTTTTTTTTTTTTCTGTTTGTTTGCTTGTTTTGTTGGGAATTTTTGTTTTAAGTACTCCAGAGCCCAAATAGTTGTCAGTGTCTTTGGCCAGAGAGCAGTTATGCCTCAATCATGGGAACTTTGACTGTTATCCAAACTTTGTAGCTTGCTTTTTTTATGTATAATCTAAGTAAGGAAAGGAATTACTTCGTGTTGTCTTTCTAGTACTGTTGCTTCTCCCTTGTTTCAAAAATGAAAGTTAAAAGAAGGGAAGGAAGGCAAATGAGTACACACACACTAAAACCACTCTGGTTTGTTTTCTTCAAACAGCAACACGGGACAATCATGGGCTTCCCTAAAGCACAGACACTTGAGGGCAGTATTCTGGAAATAGACTGTGACATTCTTATCCCTGCTGCCAGCGAGAAGCAGTTGACTAAGGCCAATGCTCACAAGGTTAAAGCAAAAGTAAGTTGGAGAGTTCGAATGCAAATGAAAAATAGAGAAGGCCTGATAAATACTGCTATTAAATAATTAGCATGGTCAAAACCAAACATACACCTCTGAGTTACTCTGCTGTTATTTCTTTCAGATTATTGCTGAAGGTGCCAATGGGCCTACGACTCCTGAAGCTGACAAAATCTTCTTGGAGCGGAATATCATGGTTATCCCTGTAAGATTCTATTCCGACCTTTGATTTTCATTACAAGGGTAACATTTCTGTGAACTGAAGTTGCTGTTTATTGAAGGCTTTTCTTAATAGTCATTCATTCTCTTAGAGTGGTTTTTTACAACTGATGTCTAGGAAATGAGTATCAGTGTTGCTTAAGATTGCTACTAATTACTTAAAGATCTTACTGCAACTGTAAATGACCAAAGATAACTATTGCAGGAAGTCTGCATATTCAGAAGAGAGAGCAATCCACAACTAGTTCTTAAATCTGTCATCTTGCATTTTGGAGTATTAGCTGACATTTGATCAGCTAGTCCACCAAACAAAGGGAGAAGGCAGAGTAAAAACGCTGGCCAATTTGTTTGTAAACACCGCGTCTCTGGGTGATACTCTGCCAGAAGTGTGTACTGTAGATTGTGCAGAGTAAATGTTACCTATAGTAATAATTTGAAAGAATAAGACCTATTCAGGTATAATGATAATATTTTCCCAGAGAAAGTGTGTCCTGATCAAGTGATATTACTAGGAAGAGTGGCTGATCTTCAGCTTTTACTCACTGACATGGTGTAAGAATGCCCTAATTTTCTTGATTAAAAATTTGTATTAACATAAAAGCAAGCAGTCAGTCAAGCACACCTGAACTTTGTGTTCTAAAGTCAAGTCTAAAGTAGAAGTAATCCCTGGACTGCAGAAGAAGATAAGTGTAGTAATGTAAAAGTAGCAACTGGATTGTCTTCTGTACTGCAGTTTAAGCTAATACTTTGTACATAATACTTCTGTTTGCTTTTGCTTAACACAATAAAGCTGTCACATGGTCACAATTGAAGATATTTACTGTTTCTCTGCAGGATCTTTATCTGAACGCTGGGGGTGTAACAGTATCCTATTTTGAATGGCTGAAAAACTTGAACCACGTCAGTTATGGCCGCTTGACTTTTAAATACGAAAGGGATTCAAACTACCACTTGCTCAGTAAGTCCCGAGTTCTGCTTTAACTCACTGTTTAGTTAATAGATTGGACTAGCGAACACCAAATGTGGGAGAAAGGAATACAGAACTATTTTGATTTCACTGCAGTTTCTCACAAATCTATTATTGCTGCATACTGAAGGGGAAGAAAGATTTCATAGGTTAACTGACTTACAACTCTAACAACTTAAGTTAAATGCATGTTTTTTTCAGTTATCTTTTAATCGTAATGTTTTCCTCAGTTATTTGAAAATACTGAACTCAGGCTACTTATGTGAAGTATTTATTACTTCTTACTGGATGTCTTTGAGCTGTACACTTGGTGTTTCAGAAGTATTCAAAGTTTGAGTGGGTAACATTGTTCTGCATGTATGACAATAGAGGATTTCTATAAATTGCAATAATGTAATTGGTACAGGCACTGTAAAAATCTGCTTGTGGCCTACAGCTCCACTTAAGGTCATTCAGTGCTTCCCAGTTTCTGGGCCAGAATACTGATTACATGGCTAAAGGGAGCTTAATGGAGACGAACTGCAGGATATAGCTCCCTTTCAAACAATATTCTGTAGAAAATATGTGAGAGTCGTGGAATACTGGACTTGAAAAAAACATACGTCTGAATATTTTTTAATATAACCTTTTCTCATAAATGATACCTTTCAGGGTGTTTCTAAAGCAGTTGAGGGTTATGATAATTTCCATTTAAAATCACTTTCTTAACTTCAGGATTGTGTCATCTGAAATACTCTGATGTTGTTTAGGAAACCATACTAATTAAATTTCATGAATTAAAATGAAATAAATACCAAGTCAAAATACCAAAGCACACCCCGAGGAAAAAACCTAAAATTGCACTTGGGCTTTTTTCTTAGCAAGTAGTGTGTGTATGCAGATTGCAATAGGATATAATTGATGGATCTGTAACTCCAAGAAATATTTTGTCTAATGCTATCTATCAAATTAGAAAAGTTAATCCAGATTGCTCTATCAGCTTTATAAGGTTAGCAAAGTGGGGTCAGTAAATCCACAGTTGTTTGCCATGTGACTATACTATAGCAATAATACTACAAATATTGGAGTCATTCAGTTACAGAAAGAAAAATCAGCATCTTTCCTTTTTCTTAGAAAACAAAAAGATGACTCCCTTTGCCCCCAGTCCCTGTGGTCTGCATTTCATGCCATCGAATGCTGAAAGTCCTGGGGTCAGCTTTTTTATTAGGAAGCACATTCCTTTCCTTGTCAGTTAACTTGCCTCTGCTTTTTTTTTTTTTTTTTCTTTCTAGTGTCTGTTCAGGAAAGCTTGGAAAGAAAATTCGGGAAACATGGTGGAACTATTCCAGTTGTGCCTACAGCAGAATTCCAAGATAGGATATCAGTAAGTAATAGCTGCTTGGTTTTTTTGTTGTTGTAGATGTATTCTGATATTATAACTGTAATTAAATTTTACCATTACTTTTATTACCATTTACCTCCATTTACCATAGACACCATGGAGGTTTTTTTTCCCTAAGCAAGGCATTAGTACATAGTAAGCCTGATGACAAAACAAGGAATAATGGAAGTAAGCTGTTTTTTCTTTCTTCTACTTGAGCCCATGCAAAGTAGTCAGAAATACTGCCTCAAACATTACCCGAATTTGTTTGGAGATCTTGTTGATATAGTTTACCTAGATTTCCAACCAACTTTCAGTCCCACACACAGACAATTTAATACACTGTTTCTGTAACTCCAGGATAGTACAGGTAAGAGCTGGGTGGGAAATTGTAAAATGTTCCTTTAAGACTGAATTAATGGACATAGAAATGTCAGCTGAAATTCACTGTTATCTAATGTGTAGCATTGTTATCTAATGGGGGGGAAATTTTCATATAAAATGTTGGGTTGTGAGCTCATCTAGAGGTAATGATAAAATACAAGCTTAGAAATCCATAGCGATCAAAAAGCAAAACCAGCATTAGGAATGGTTCTGAAGGGAAAAGAATATGCTGACTAATGATGCCACAATATAAATCCAGAGCGTGTCTGCCTTGTGAATACTGCATGCAGGTTAAGCCTCTGTACCTTCAAATGTTGTAGGTGTGGAAGAAGTTCAGAGCAAGATCACAGAATGATCAAAGATACAGAAGCTGCTCATACATGGAAAAATGAACTAACCTAGGTCCTATTGGCTGGAAGTAGTCTTAGGGTGGGGACAGTAATCTATAGAATGAGTGATGTGAAAATAGATGGGTAGGGGTAGATTGTTCATTGTAAGGAATGATGAACAAGAATGAGATGTGTTCAAACAAAGCCAGCAGAGTGAGGTGCAGAATGAAGGACAGGGGATGGTTCCTAGCACAGAAGACAGTTAAGATGCGCAATACTCTGTCAAGGGATATGTGACAACTAAAAGGTTCCGTAGGTTTGGTTCTTTAAACACAAGTTCAGGAGATGGGACAGATGATTGGGGGAAAAATTTAAAAAAAAAAAAAAAAACAACTGAGTTATGAAAAACATTAACCCATGTTTTCTCAGGAAGAAATTGGGGTAAGTGCATGTAAATTTGGACCACTGTTACATGATAGAAATGGACTTTAGCCTGACCCAGTATGATGTTTTCATAAATGCTAGGCTAAACAAACAGCATGGTAGATAGGTTCTGTGGCTTAAAGCAGTGGCTGTGATCTCTTAAGCACAAGCCATAAAAACTGGCCTAGTAATTTCTACATCCAGTCCAAATTGGTATTTGAGGGAAAGTGTATATTTTGTGAAGCCAGGTCTCAAATTATGATAAATTACAGCAGTTGGCATGATGGAACATTTAGACTGATAGTCATCCTAATACAGATTATCTTCAATTATTTATTGTTCTGTGTTTTTACATTTTAATGGGAACATAGCTATCCTGGAGTTGCTCAGGACTAATACAATGTTGAGTATATTAACTGGGGATCCATGCACTTCCTAAAATCTGTCTGTCTTCAAAACAATTGCAAGCAGCTTCTATAGATTGACTCTTGGAAGCTTCTTCGTTTAACTCTTACTGTGTGTTCTGATGGCTGAAAACAGTAGTTATAACATCAATAAAAAATGCTAGCATTATGGATCTAGAAGCTAGGCATACAAAAGTCTTCAGTGCTTACGTGTGAGGTTTTAGAATTGAATTGACCGTAATTAGCTCTTCAAGTAACACAGTAAAGGCAATTCTTACACCAGTCATTAGAAGAATATGAGCAAGCAAGCTTCAGTAATTATGGGAATCCAACACATCATTGTCCCTAATACACAATTAGTGCCTTTTATGTTTTGGATTAAACTCCAATTTTCTTCTCTGTTGTTGTAGGGTGCATCCGAGAAAGACATTGTCCACTCTGGGTTGGCTTATACAATGGAGCGTTCTGCCCGGGTAAATATTGCATTAGTAAATATACTTATAGGAAAAAGAACTTACATGACTTTGCATAAGTTTTTGAATGGATTGTACAGAATTTTTTTGCAAGTGAAGGAGTAAATAGTTCATGATAATGGAAGACACTATGAATAAGAGGTAGAGGGATTTCTGCTCTGTGCTGGGATGGTCAAGTTTATCTGGATATATTAGATATTAGAGACTAATACATGAAATCATGAAGTATTTTCTAGTAGAAGCTGTAGTAATTAGAAACTTTTTCATTGTTGTTCTCTTGTACCTGCCTAAGCACACCTAAGACTGCTTTACTTTACCATTAGCAGTTTTAGATTAATCTCTTTATGCAGTATTTTGAATTAGTGAGACAAAGACTGCTGTTTCTCCCTGTATCTGAGGTACATGTGGATCCAAGACCTGAAAAGGTGCAAGGTAGTAATCTGGGAAAGATCTTCTTCCCTTTCATATCTCAGTTGTAAGGGGAATCAAGAAATTTTAAAATTGATCCACAAAGGGTCAGAGCTCTCATACCAATCTAGCAGCTCCTTATACTCATAACTTGGATCCACCAAAGCAAAGTCTAGTTTAGTTCCTATGGAGAAACTTGCAGAAATCACACTTAACCTTTTCTGTTTCAGCAAATCATGCGTACTGCCATGAAGTACAACCTGGGTCTGGACTTGAGAACAGCTGCCTATGTCAATGCAATTGAGAAAGTCTTCAAAGTGTACAATGAGGCTGGCCTGACTTTTACATAAATAAGCCATTACCGCTCCTTGTTGTATCCCATCCCTCTTGCTGTTAATGTACCCTCTTCTTGAGAAAGCTTATCACAAGTTTACATGTAACCACAAAATTTTCTTTTCTTCTCACATTATAGTGGATTCTATTCTCAATTAGTTTCAGTCCAGACTAGTCTTTTTTACAATAAAAATCCATGGATTAGGAAATTGTATACAAGTATGTATCTGAAGATAACAGCTCATCTGCACTTGTGGGGGCCATTCTGGGTATTTCACCTACAAAACAAAATGGTACATTTCATGTATGAAAGAGTGGTCTTGTCACCTGAACCACTTCTCAGACTTCAGATCAGATACTGTACTAGATGAGCACTTAGCTCATTATTACTTCATGCACTTTTGTTTAAAGATGTAATTTTGGCTTTGGCACTTTCAGTAAGGCCTTGTATGATCAATGCTGTGGCATTGTCAAAGGAAGAATAGGCCTCTAGCAGGGATTAACTTTGATAGGAGTCTAATTTTTATTTGTAGTAAAGCTTCAGGCCTGATTCTCTTTAGGCAATGTATTTTCTTTAACTGTGCTGCTGTTATAGGACTGCCTTTTATTGCTTGTTCAAACTAGCTTGACTATCACCATGAAGTATGTAGAGGTGACAGACTAATATTTTTTATAAACTGAAACTATCGAGCAACTTTAGTTACATTTTTAATCAAGCATCTACATAACTACTCTGACCATAGGTTTTGGTTTATTGTTTTTTCATTGGGTTTTTGTTTGTTTGTTTTTTTTTTAAAGGGTTAGCCTGAATTTGGTAAGCAATCATACTTAGAATTTTTGGAATTCTTTTCCAGTCTTCAGGGCTTTCTGAAAATTAGATACTGCCTCAGTGAACAACTAAAATGAAACTGAACCCAGAAATCATTGGCCAAACTACAGAGGAACTAGAATGCTGCTATAAACTTAATCACTGTCTTAACACACACAGCCTGTTTTGTGGTTTTGGATTGTTGGTTTGTTGGTTTTTTTCTGTCATCAGGAGGTCTTGAAAGTTTTGAACATATTAGAGTACAACAAAATGGACCTCAACACAATATTGGATCAAGCACAGTTTTTAAAGTGTAAGGCTTTTGTCCTGTGGAGTCCCCTTGAAGTGCCAGATGTTATTTATGTAATGAATATGAATGTTTTTTTTAAAAGACAACTAGTCCCTCCCAGAAACTCATGCTTTTTTTCTAACTACTTTGTAACTGCATGACATAACCTGGAGAGAAGAGCAGTTATTAAAAAAAGTTGACCTTTCCAAACCTACTATGCTGGTGTATTACTGTTTTCTATTTCATGCAATAGCTTTTTTTAGTTACAATCAATCTTCACAGCACACTTGTTTATTCATTACATGCCTGCTGATAAGATACCATTTCTGAGTTATCCTAAGGGGCACACTAGTAGAGATCTCTGTCTCTTGAACTTGCCTATCAGCAAGACTTTTGAAGTTGGATATGTTTGGTACATCATTTCAGGTCTTTACTGTGTCCTCTCAAATTCATATGAAGAACTGCTCTAGTAGCTAGCATGAAGCAATAAACCTGTGTGATGCATTTAGTTGGTGGCTTACTCCATCATATATGCTGATAGCCAGGGTTATAAAAGTACTACAGCTCACCTAAGTGCAATGTGTATATATACTGGCATTTATTTAAGACAAAAAACAAAAAACCCACATTTTGAGCATGAAAGAATTACAGTCATCAAGGTGTATAGCTCTAAACATGAACTCTATATCTTGGATCATATTTTTCAGGGCAGTTTTTATGCCAACATTTATTAGATAGTAAAATGAAACTAACATTTTAACAATTAAGCTGTGACAATTTATAATCTACATCCACCAAAAGCTGGAGGCTAAAACCTTACGAATAAGTAGTTGCATTATTGAAGAGAGAAATAATAAATCTTAAAAGCTGAGCTACATTGTCTGTCAGCAAAGGCGTCAAAAGCAAAGTGCAGTAGCAGTAAAAAGACTTGGCTAATTCAGTGTTCTCCCTCTCCTCTAGCTAGTAAAGCATCTCTATTATGGCTGTGTAAACTTGAAAAATGGGACCCTTCCAGTGTCAGAGCATACGGAAAGCTGGCATAGATAGGTAACTGGGATATTTTCTACCTCCTACCCACTCTGAAGGGAAAAACCCACAAAAGCTGCACAATGCCCGAGTTCCCTGATACATTAACATCTTACATCCATGCACACCCACAAGCTAGCACTTCTTTTCCCAAGATGTTTGAAAGAAAGCGGACCTGCACCTGACATGATTTTACCCAATCCAGAGATGAGCCCTTAAGGCTGAGGGAATGCTCCCTTCACACAGCCATACCCCTCCACAAGTGGTGTCTTCCAGCTGAGAACATAGTCACTGCTTGTATTCACATACATGCCACTAGGCATTCACCAAGAAACTGCTTGGGTGTTTGGGAGTGAGCCAGTCAGTACCTGATGTTAGATTTGAACACAGATTTGAAACTGCTGTGAACCAGACCTACTACCCAGAGCAAAATGCATCCTTAACATAGCAGGTGTTTATAATCTCTTATGCTGATTATGTAGATTGTGTTGAACAGCATCTCAGTAGGTACTCTACAGCTGAATTTTATAAGGATGACAACTACAAGGTTCAGGGTTACATGCTGCCTGCAAACTACTAAATGCAAAATATCTCTATTATACAGAAGTAGTAGAACTGTGTCGTGGCTCAAGCCCAGCCGGCAACTTGGAACCACGCAGCCGCTCGCTCACTCCCCCCCCTCTTCCTTCCTCCCCCTGCTCCCGGAGGGATGGGGAGGAGAATCAGAGGAATGTAACTCCCACGAGTTGAGGTAACAGCCCCCCAGTAACTAAGGTATAATACAACCCACTACTGCTACCAATAATAATGATAAGAGGAATAACAAGGGAAAAGGACACAACCGCTCCCGCCCCGCCGACCGATACCCAGCCCGACCCGAGCAGCGATCTGGGCCTTCCGGGTAACTCCCCCCAGTTTATATACTGGGCATGACGTGCTGTGGTATGGAATACCCCTTTGGCCAGTTTGGGTCAGGTGGCCTGTCTCTGCTTCCTCCTGGCTTCCCCTCCTCCCTGGCAGAGCATGAGACTGAGAAAGTCCTTGGTCAGAGTAAACATTACTGAGCAACAACTAAAACCATCAGTGTTATCAGCATTGTTCCCAGGCTGAAAGTCAAAACCACAGCCCTGCACCAGCTACTAAGAAGGAGAAAAAATGACTGCTGCAGCTGAACCCAGGACAAACCGTCACTGTTTTTATCCCAGCACTCGGTACTATGCCTGTGTTCATTGATGACAACTGTCACCATCAGAAAGAAGTGGTGGAGCAATGGTAAATCTTGCTGATATCAAGATGCCAAATAAGTGACCTCTAAGTTATTCTATTAGTAATTGGTGAGCCTGTAGTATTGGATGCTAAGATCTCCTTCAAAGCTCATGTGCACACAGGGTATTTTTGTTATTTGGCTTTTTTTTTGTTCCATTGGGTTAGTTTGGTGTGTGTGGTTTGGGTTTTTGTTTGGGTTGGGGTTTTTTTGGGGGGGGGG